AAAAAAAAAAAATCAAAGTCCAACTTTAAGCAGTCTTGTTCTGTTTCAAAGGTCTTACTTCTCAGCTGTTTGCTGCAGTTGCTCGTCACTCGGCTCCTGTAGGCCATTGCTGAGCTTCATGACCTCTGTTTGATTATTCATATCCTGTTCTCCTCTGCTGTGACTTACTGTCAGCCCCTGTGAATCTACAAATAAACACCATAAATTTACACAAAGTCACTTAAACATAGGTGCTTCATTCACTGAGATTTTATTATTATGATTTTTTTTTGAATCCCTTACTCTCATGGTTGTCCAGCGCAGTCTGTAGAGACGTGACGTGTTGTTTTTCCTCTGAAAGCGCTTTTTCACCGTGTGCCCTCTCCTCAGCTCCTGTGTCAAGGTCTGACCTCAGAGCAGTTATCTCAGCGTCATGCTTCTGTTGGAGTTCTTCTCTCAGCCTCCTCATCTCATCAACTTGTTCACGCTCTTCATTTAGAGCCTCCTCCAGATTACTGAGCTCCGCAGCAAAATCCTTTTTCATCTAGATAGACCAAACAGAGGGCATGTATCCAGATCCCGTTTTGTATTGCAGTTTTGTACATTTTTACACCTGGGATGCATTATATGTACCTTTTGTGTGTTCTGAACCTCAGCTTTGTATTGTTCGTTTAAGGCAGCCAATCTATTCTCCAGGTTATGGATGATTGTCAACCTGCTGTGCAGCTCCTCACTGTGACACCACAGCCTCAATTCAATCTCCGCCTAAAAAAAAAAAAAATCCCAATGGCATCAGATTATTTATAAACGTGGTGTTGAATTATAAAATGGATGGTCTAGTTTTCCTCTTACCTCCACTTGTCTGGAAGCTTCTGCTTGGATTCTCGTAAGTTCTAAAAAATTAAGTGTGGTATGTAAAACCGGTTCAAACTTGATTTGGTAAAAACACTGACAGCAAATGTTAAGTCAGAGTCTGAGGAAAATGCAGCATTAATAAAAACACTAATCAAAAGGACATATTTGTTACATGTGAAAATATTTAAAATACCTCGCAAGTGACCTTCAGAGACTTTAGCTTTAAGTTGCTCCATCTCCAGGGCATGGCGAGTCTTCATCTCCTGCAGCTCCACGTAGTAATGGTCCGTGAGCTCAGAGCGCACCTAACACACGAGTGGTGATATAGAAACAGATGAATGAGAGACTGAGGATGATGTGCCTGTAACTTTAACTTAAATTTTAAATGGTAAATGGTGGTGCGGCTGTCGCTGTCTGACCTGCTGCACTTCTTCCTCAAAGGACACAGTCAGAGAAGATCGAAGGTTTGACAAATCCATAGAATGTTTTTCCTCCATCTGAAGTTGTAAGGTGTCCAGTAAGTCCTTAAAAATAAATCAGAATGTTACATTGAAGTGATGTGCAATAGAGATGGGGAGGCAATTTTCACATAGCAACCTAGCTGAAGAATAAGTATTAAATATTTAGAGTGCACTGTACCACCCATTTGTCTGATGATAACCTAAAAATGCCTCTTTCTAATAATCTGTGAGCATTTCATCGTTTGTCTGTACCGTGTGTTTTTCTTGGTTTAGGCTGGTTTCATTTTCCTCCTTATTTTCATTTTGTGAGATGAAACTGATAACAAATACAAAAACTGACATTACTTACAGAACGTTGCTTTAAAGGAGACTCATCACAATGAAATAAATGCTGTTTTTAATACCTGTCATTTGCAGTTGAAAGCACAGACTCCTCCAGAGCACCTTGTACCAGCCTCAGCTGGAGAAGAGCAAGTTCCTCTCTGTAACTCTCTTCTGCTGCCTGTAGCCGCTTCTCAAAGTACCTTCAAGTGGATGAAGAGCAAGCATGTGTTTTAGTAGTGGGGTTAACAGAATAAATATGATCACAAACAAAGGAGTTAAAAAAAAAA